GCGGGGTCCGGGGGGGGGCTGCCGGGTCCGGGGGGACCTGCTCTCGTGGTGGGAGCGGGGTTACCTCGACACAAGGTGCTGGTGTTGTAGAGCGTACAGGTCTCCCGCGCCGCTGCGCCTCTCTGCATGCAGCTCCCTGTCTCTGCGGGAAGAAGGAGCAGGGTTTTCCCAAGGGACGCCCCAGCAAACCAGCCCATGGGGGCACCCAGTGCAGCTGGTGGCATTTGGGCCCAGGGTGGAGCTGGGCACCCGAGGGTTTGGAATGGCGAGGACTCATTTGCAGGGGTGGGCATCCAACCGAGGGGCTGCAAGCCAGGGCTCACATCCGCGCCCCTGCAGGGAAGAGCCCCAAACAAGGGCTTTATAAAAGAGCCAGCTTTCTCCCACCTCCATCATTTGGTGCAGCTCCATCCGCACCTCCAGGGAGTGGGAGAGTTCCCAGCGTCACCCCAAGCCCAGCGTGGCTGGAAGCAGCACATGTCAAAATCCTGCACCCCTGCCTGCTGGGCTGGCACAGATCCCCTGCCTCCCCCTGGGATAGGACGGGTGGGACGGACTTTGACCACAGAAAGCAGCTGGGACCAGGCACCCAAGGGTGCTGAGCTGCCGGCACCATCCTGACATGGTCCCAGCCCTGCAGCAGGGGCTGGTGAAGGCTGGGTGGGAGCCCCTTGCTGCCCCCCACGCATGGCTGACCCCCCTTACCTGGCTGCTGGGGGGTCCTGCAGCCCACCCAGACGCAGCCGGTGGCGTTGTGCGAGGCAGTGCTGGCTGTGCATGTCTCGCAGGACCTCAGCTTGCCACACTCCCCTGCCAAAGCTGGGGGAAAGGGGTGAGGGCAGGGCCAGCATCCCTCTCCACATCGGCCAGGGTCGGGGCCAGAGCCTCTGCTCCGCAGAGGAGGATGCAGCGGGAGGGATGAAGGCACCGTTTGCAGCACCGAGCCCACTAACAGACCCGTCCCGACCAGCTGCAGGTGCATTTGGAGCATCACCAGCTCTCCAGAGAGGGGACATCCCGCAGCTCCCAGCACCCATGGCCACCTGGGACACCCAAGGGTCCCCCCACCACCCGCAGCCATGGCAGGCTGCAAAGCCTACCCCAGCCCTAGACCTTTTGGTGGAGGTTAAAAGAGATGAGGCAGCAGCGCCAGCCTGGCTGCTCCTGGTTGGGGTTATCTAAGCAGCATCTCCCCTTTCCGCCCCCAACCATCCCACAGGACCCTCCGCTCCCCATCGCCCCAGCAATGGCAGTGAGTCACTTGGGCGGTTGCGGAGCTGCTCTGCCATGAGCTCTTCCCCCCCACAAACACACACGCTCATCATTAATTTACAGCGATGACTGTCAGCGAGGGAGGCTGCAACCGGGAGCCGCGGCCGGGCCCTGCCTTCACCTCACTGCATCCCACGCCCGTGCCCTCATTTGCACCATCCCAGGAAGGAGCTGGGAGCTATTCCCCATGCTGGAGATGTTTCCAGGCTCTCAGGGGACAAACACTCCCTCCCAGAGCTCACAGGAGAGGGCTGGGGGCTGGCACCCCCCTGGGCCGGCTCCCCAGGGGTCTCTGCCAGGCAGGGACCAACCCAGCCTTGTGCAGCTTCCCAGCTGTGCCCCATCCCCACCAGCAACGCTTTGCAGAAGGCTTC